AAGATTTAGATGGTCCCAATGAAATAACCAAAACACTGTGGTGATGTAAGTTAATGATTTGAGAAGAAGCACAGGGAGGACGAGCGGACATGAGAGCGGGCAAAAATCATAAGGCAATTTTCTAGTGATTGGGGACAAATATAAATAGTGTTCCTTTGAATATCATTCCGAGGACAACTAACAAGCATAGACTGAATTTGGACAAGGGTAGAGAACCATTAGAAAGTTTACCTCATACTCTCCAATATCAAGCTCATCTAACAACTCGGTCAAAATCTTTATGACCTCAAAATCAGGCATCATCTTCTCAAATTGACCAGCTATGTCAAAATCACACTGGTAAAATTCACGATATCTACCCTTAGATGGATTATCTCTTCTGTACACCTTAGCTATCTGATAACGCTTGAAGGATGTCAGACCATTCATTGCTACATATCTAGCAAATGGTACTGTCAGGTCATAACGAAGAGAACAAAGTTCTCCTCCCTGCAAATATTACCGGGGAAGGAGAATTAGTACAAAAAGATCAGGAATAATGCACAACTCAGATTCGAAATAATGAAACAACAAAAATGCACCTATTAAATAATCTATGAATACTTAACAATATCAGACTCATATATGCTTTTAACTTCTAAAAAAGGACTTTTTCCTGTCCAACCTAAATATCAACTTCTGTATTTACAGAACAGCAAAACATACAATTCAGCACTAGCAGAAGTAGGGATTAGAAGAACACAGGGAGTTTAACAGGAAGACAAATTTCTAATAATCATGCAGAGGTGAAGCCTTTAGATGGAAAGTCAAATGGAAAAAAATATATATAAACCAATAAAATTATTAATATTCTAATTTATATAACTAAATGATGAAGAGAGGAAGTTGCAGTTACTGAAATCTTAGTGAACAGAACTATGAAATGCCCAATAAGATCTCACACAATTCCTCTTTGAGAAACCAACTATCCCACACCATTGTTCCAATTATATTTATATGTTACACTTATTTTTTGACAACGTTGGGTTATGGGTGGCTTGTGCACCTCTACATGTCACATCCACCAGGTACTGCTACCTTCCATCAACACAACTTCGGTGGATAGAGATCCATTAAACAAATGGAAAGAAATCTTCTAACATTTTTTGCCACTATACATCCAGCTTCATTGATGCTAGATCACACTCATACATGTGAAAGACCGAAATTATGTGTGCGTGTGGAATTCCCATGTGAGCAGATGCACCAACAAAAATCAATCAATAAATAGCAGTTGAAACAACTAATAAACCTGATCCGCTAGATCATATATCAATTTTGAGTCTTCTCCATATTTGCCCATCAGAGTCTCTCGCATTTCAAAAGCAGGAGTGTCCAAAGCAGCAGCACCGTGTCTTTTAAAAACTTCAGTGATAATTGAGAAAGCTCTCTCTCTTATAGCCATCTGTTCCTTTGCAAAATCACGTGTTCCCTGTCACAAAAGAATTAAACATTTAAATTTCACTGCAGATGAAACATTAACTACATCCATTTGGTGCACCTAGAAAAAGGAGCTAAATCTATTCATATTCCTTCTAAAGTTGATATGACAACGACGAGACTATAAAGAATATTAGGAGTAAAGAAGAAGGCATTTTAATTCCCAATTCCCAATTTTATGTTCTTCTAACACTGTTTGATAGGAAAGTAAATTATCCAACAGAAAACAGGAAACATTGTGCCGGTAAATTTAAAGATCTACTTCCTCTTTTTGTCAAGGGGATGAAACCTACAACATTCAGAGATGAAACTCCACATTCTACATACAAGCTCCCAACAAAATAGGGATACGCTTGCGCATCAAGTTTACTGCAGAATGCCGCAGTCTTAAGTTAATTAGCCTTCAAACAAATGTTAGCCATTAAGCTGATCAAAAAACTTCGCCACATGATCTCTCTTGGGTCCAAAGGGATTTATAGTTGTCATGGCCTCATAACTTTCACTCACTTATCCAAAAAAAAATAAAGGCTTACATCATTAAGATTCCACCTCTGGATCCTCTCATTAGGGGTCATCCAAATATTGTCATTGCATCATCTAAAAGCTAGTGTACATCCTTCAACATTTTCCATCCAGTTGCTGGAATACCTCCACCAAATCCCACATGGACAGTAACTATTCCATAAGTGCAGACATTGAGCAAAAAGCATAATAATAGTCATTGCTAAATTGAATATTGAAGTGTTGAAAAAGTAATTAAGAGAAAGTGTATGAGTTAGATTACTTTTGTTTTTGATAAACTTGAGAATTTATTACAGGGATAAATATCAGAGTTTTATTCAAAAGTGGTAAATATTAAAGGAAATATAATTACTCCTAAACAAGTGCTGCCAATTACTGATTTTCTTGCACTTCAAAAAATAATGTTACGAAATTTCTGGTTAATCACCAAGGTTGAACTAAAATACTTAATTATTTCCAGCTACTTTTTTGTTTGTATCCTGCAAAAGTCCCAAACAAACTATTGATCTATATAGTATATTTTTCAGATCGGGTGTAAAAGGGCATACACGAGTTTATAAGTGTCTTAGGCCATTCCACCATTTTCTTAAGGATTCGGGTTGGATGTTCATCATATCACGTGACCTGGTACCAAGATCAAATTTAGCAGGCCTACTGCTACACATCTTTCACATAAACAAATAAAGAAGACAGCCATGTATTCAACCAGTTGTATAACAATTGGAATCAAACTGCTATGAATAATTCAATTAGGTGAGGAGTGGGTCATCCCGAAGCAGCAGAAAAATAGCCTACTCTGCGCTCAAAGAAAAATAACTGAAAAAATGAGTGGGACAAAGATAACAAAGCATGGTTCTCTACCTTTGGTAGTTTAGGCAACCGGCGGCTTTCATTGCTTTCCACTATATCTTTCACCTTTTTCAGTAAAGTGTCAAATCCCAAGTCCTTTGGGTCCAGTAGTGACAAGAAATTGCGAACCAAATTCTCCAAAGCCATGACAGTCTGGGACGCTTCAGTCTGAATTGGCATGCTCAGCAGCCTATCCTTCAAAAACTGCACCAGAGCGGTGGTACCTTTACCAAGAATCTTCTTTTTCTTTGCTCCTTTTTTAGCTGCTGTCTTTGCACTGTCTTCGCCTACACTCGTATCGCCTGAAGGAATGAAGTCCCTTCCTTCAAGGGAAAGGAAAGCAGCCAGGGCTTCCCAGGAAATTATTTTCTCTACCATCACCAGTAAAGAGCTGACATCATGTGAGAACTTAACATATTCCTCATCCGAGTGAGCTGACACCAAAGATGCGAAAAGAGCTTTTAGCTGATCAGGGCGAGGACATTCTTTTATCAGCATTGCAGGAAATTCATCATCTCCAGTAATGCGAGAATCGACAATGCGCTTTGCTCGGTTATAACTGATGTTACCCAAATCCTTGAGGGCCACAGCCAAGGAAAACAGCGTGGTGCACATGGAGCTGGCTGTACCAGAAGATCCAGAATTGGATACAGTTGCAGAGTTCAATTGGACACGGGTGCTGGAGTGCAGGAGTCGGGAAATCTCCCTAAACTTGCCGTGCACCACGGGAACACCAGAAACTGCAGGTTCATCACCCTCACGGTTAACAAATTTAGAACCGTTAAGCAAGATCTTCAAGTCAGAAGCCACGGCAACAACGTCCTTGGCAGATGAACCATCACCGGAATCATTCAAATTGAAAGCTGAAATGTCAGCCCCCAAGGCCTCGCAGGACAAGGCAGCAATAGCATCAGTAATAACAGACAAAGCTGAACTTCGATGATCCAAGATAGCGGAGATTCCAGCTATTGCTGCCACAGAAAAATCACCCGGAGAAACGCCATCAATAGTGTTATCAAACGAAATTTGCACATTAGAGGACGACAATACATCCTTAAGGATGATATCAGAGAGCTGATTAACAGCTGCAGAAGTGGAAGAAGAAAGCAAAAGCTTGTTGAGCAGGACCACGAGAGAAGCTCTAGCCTCATCGGATGTTAAATTACTGAGGATTGAAAATGATGCAGACACCGTAGGCGCATTAGTCTTGCTGGTTTTAGCATTGGAGGAAGACGATACTTTGGAGAGTGCTGAAGAGTCTATGCTCAGACGACTGAGCCCATTGGCAATATCAAATACAGAGGAAGATGACAGTGATGAGCCTTTTCCGCCCACTGTAACCATGCGTCTCTCTTCCGCCATGGGTCACCGAATCAGAAAGATGATGTTGGGTTTTCCGGCAAAATCGCCGGCGAAGGGATTAATGGGGGTTTAGAAGGTGACGGATTGAGGGTTTTTTGGGGGGGAAATGGGCTGCAGAAACGGAATTTTGGGAATTAGGTTTTGCAAATGGGTTTCAACCCAAGAGTTTTGGGGTTTGTTTTGTTTTGCGTTACACTTGGGCTTGAGTGCGATTGGAATCTTCTTGTTTCTATTCCTTTTCTCTTTTTGCATCTTTTTCTCTTAAAATCACTTGAGTCTGTGGGAAAATCATCTTTTTATTTCTGTGTAAAATTTGTATATTTGTCTATTATCTTCAAACTATACTTTTCATGGGATTATAATAATTATCATGTTATTGTTCTCTCAAAATCAATGCTAATATTGCGAATAAATTTATACTTGAAGCATTTATACTTGTGTACTTTTGATTTTCAGCTAGACATTTCCTATTTAAATTTTGAAAATAAAAATACAAAATATATTATCTCCTTGAATCATACAAATCAACCTTCAAGTTGAAAAATATAGTTTTAAAATTTATTAAGGTGAATATGTATGATTAAAGAAATGAAATATTTTATATGATTGACTTAATTATCTAGTATCTGGATGAAAACTCATGAAAAAATCTTTTCAAAATTTGAACCAAGAGTTTCTAAAGCAAAACATTTTATTAAAAATTGATATATCACGAAGGTTTTATATTATCTCTTGTATATTACAATATTTTTTTTAAAAAAAATATTTTTTTCCACGTAGTCTTGGTATATAGGTTGAATTGAAACAAAAAAAAAACAAAAAACAGTTAAGTTGGTTAACAAAAAGGGCCAATGTTGGCACACTGAAATTCTAATGTCACACTTGCACACGGCTGCATTGAAAGCCACCAAATTAATCCACTTGAAACAGTTTCATGCGCAGCTCTTTCAACGCTCTCTCTGTTCCGACAATTATTGGGTGGCGCAGCTCATCAAACTCTGCACGCGCCTCCACGCTCCGTCCACTTATGTTAGCCGAGTTTTTGATTCAGTCCACCAACCCAATGTCTTTGTTTTCACTAATATTCTCAAGTTCTACTCTCAATTGGGTGCCTACAGTGATGTTCTCTACCTGTTTGACAAAATGCAGAAATCCAATGTAGCCCCTGATGCATTTGTATACCCGATTCTCATCAAAGCATCTGGAAAATGGGGCATTGTGTTCCATGCTCATTGTATCAAGATGGGTCATGATTGGGATAGGTTTGTTCGCAATGCGATTATGGATGTGTATGGAAAGTTTGGGCCTTTGGAGATTGCGCGGGAACTGTTTGATGAAATTCCTGAGAGAGCTGTTGCAGATTGGAATGCTATGATTTCTGGGTGTTGGAATTGGGGGGATGAAGTTGAAGCGAGGAGTTTGTTTGATTTGATGCCTGAGAAGAATGTGGTTACTTGGACTGCAATGGTTACTGGTTATTCAAGAAGGAAAGATTTGGAGAATGCTAGGAAGTATTTTGATCAAATGCCGGAGAGGAGTGTTGTGTCTTGGAATGCAATGCTGTCGGGGTATGCTCAAAATGGGTGTGCTGAAGAGGTTATAAAGTTGTTTAATGAGATGATGAGTTGTGAGGTTTGCCCTGATGAAACTACATGGGTTACTGTCATTTCTTTGTGTTCTTCGCATGGTGATGTTAGCCTTGCCGAAGGGCTTGTTAAGATGATAAATGAGAAGGGTGTTCGCTTAAATTGTTTTGCAAAGACTGCTCTACTTGACATGTATGCTAAGTGTGGGAACCTTGCTATGGCTAGAAAGATCTTTGACGAATTAGGTACGTACAAGAACTTAGTTACATGGAATGCAATGATTTCAGCATATGCAAGAGTTGGTGATTTGGCTTCTGCGAGAGGGCTCTTTGATAAGGTGCCTGAGAAGAATGTCATCTCTTGGAATTCAATAATAGCTGGTTACGCTCAAAATGGAGAATCAAAAGTGGCTATTGACCTTTTCAAAGATATGATAGCAAAGGATGTGCTGCCAGACGAAGTCACCATGGTTAGTGTGATCTCGGCCTGTGGCCACCTTGGGGCTTTGGAATTTGGTAATTGGGCAGTAAATTTCCTGGAAAAGCATCAAATCAAACTGAGCATTTCAGGTTATAATGCTCTGATCTTCATGTATTCCAAGTGTGGTAATATGAAAGACGCGGAGAAAGTTTTCCAATCGATGGAAGCCAGAGATGTGATTTCTTATAACACATTGATTACAGGTGTTGCAGCTTATGGCAATGCCATTGAAGCTGTTGAATTGTTGTGGAAGATGAAGAAAGAAAATATTGAACCAGATCGAATAACCTATATAGGGGTACTAACAGCATGTAGTCATGGTGGACTGCTAAAAGAAGGTCAAAGGATATTTGATTCAATCAAAGATCCAGACTCCGATCACTATGCATGCATGGTTGATTTGTTAGGTAGAAATGGTAAACTAGACGAAGCAAAATGTTTGATTGGAAGTATGGCAATGCATCCACATGCAGGAGTATATGGTTCCCTTTTACATGCTAGTCGAGTTCACAAAAGGATAGACCTGGGAGAGTTTGCAGCTAGTAAGCTCTTTGAAATAGAACCAGAAAATTCAGGTAATTACGTTTTGCTTTCAAATATATACGCCTCAGCAAGAAGATGGGAAGATGTAGACAGGGTGAGAGGGTTGATGACAATTGGAGGAGTAAAGAAAACGACTGGATGGAGTTGGATTGAACACAAGGGGGAGATGCACAAGTTTATAGTGGGTGACAGGTCACACGAGCGAACTGCAGATATTCATAGAGTGCTCTTTGAAACAGAAAAGAAGATGAAGTTAGCTGGATATATGGCTGATAAGAGCTGTGTTCTAAAAGATGTTGAAGAAGAAGAGATGGAAGAGATGGTAGGGACCCATAGCGAGAAGATGGCTGTCGCTTTTGCTCTTCTTGTTACTGAACCACACTCGGTCATAAGGGTGGTGAAGAATCTCAGGATATGTAGGGATTGCCACACAGCAATCAAAATCATTTCAAAGATGGAGGGGAGGGAGATCATTGTTAGAGATAATAATCGGTTTCACTGCTTCAGTGAAGGGCAGTGTTCTTGTAAAGACTATTGGTAAGTCATGCCTTACTGTACGATCCACACTGATAAAAGATGGTTTGTTCTCAGATCAGCAACATTGACTAGGTTGTAGAAAAAATAGTCAGTCATGCTAGACTATCGCAATTTGCTGAATCTTTGTCAGTATGCTCAGAGATTGCTGACAACAGCTATGTTCGGCTGTGTAGTTTGTTCCAGCAACAATATCAAGTTGTGTGGATAGAATTACACTACATCATTGAGAAATGGTTCACGAATATTGGTTGATTTGATTTTCTATTATGAATGTGAAAAGTTAAGGGGTGTGATTTACTGTATTCAAGAGTAAGGATCACAAATAGTTTCTGAATTCCACATACTACCGCAGTGTAGTAGATATAGATAACTCATTTAAGTAAAGAAAGATGAAAATGGATACAGAAGCACAAGATGATAACAGGCACAAATTTCATCTAAAACACAATCCGAAAGCAAGATAACAGAAAGCAAATGTTCATGAAATGGACATCCCAATTCCATCAGCAAACATTTAACTTTGACATAGCTTACATTTGATAACTGAGCTAAAAGTCCTAGACCTTCCAACATCTCCACTTAATTGATGTTGATCTAAAAGTCCCACAAATTTTAAACTCTAGCTCTCTTGCTACTGCAGCTGGGACACTTGTACTGCTTGATATGCTCAGCTTTTGCTGGGGTAATCTTCACACATTTGCCATGGAACCATCTCTCACAAATATCACAGCAAATCCAGAATTCATCAGTCGCATAATTATCACCACAGGCTCCACAGAGAGTTGCCCCTTGTTCTTCTTCTTCTTCTTCCTCCTCCTCCCCACTTTCATCCTCCATTGTAGGTGGAGACACCTTTACTTCCTTGGGCTGGGGCTCTGGCTGTCGAGGCTGAACATCAAAGATAATAGCTGAAAACATGTGCTCAAACAAAATGGGAAAAGAAACAGTAACTATATATGTTAGGTCCAGTATATGAGAACCTTTCCACTTGATTTGCTTTTGCTGCTATTGTTGTGAGCGGCATCGCGTGCCTGCTTAGCAGCTCCAGTAACAACCTCAAACACTGTTGGGAGATCATTTGTCATTTGGAAAAGCCTCTTCCTGTATACATGATTCCCAAAATAAAACAATTATCCTCACTAAATTAATATCAGATAACCATTTAACCAACGTAAGCCACCTATGCTGCTCGGACTCTCCAATAGTGATGCCATACTTGTGTCAGATCCTCCAAAAAATGCACTGATCTTGGAGGATCCCACACACCCCATTGCTGTTTATGAAGAATCCGAGTAACATAGGAAAGCACATTAACGAGATTGGACTCTAGCTAGACAAACCATCCAGACACTTGACAGATATAAGTCAAATTTAAGTTGACATTTCTGGACATGTATGTATGATTATGGAATCCCATGCAACCAGTTTCCCAGTATAAACTCCAGCTTATGACGATTTCAGTCATATTTTCACATCCATCAATATTCTCTAACGGTCTAATGGTATATAGTTCATTTGTTGGTAGCTTGGAGGATTAAAAGCATGACTCTTGCTTTCCAATTGGCTGTTTTTGCATTAATTGCTACTTCATTAATCTTATTGATTAGCGTACCCGTTGTATTTGCTTCTCCTGATGGCTGGTCAAGTAACAAAAATGTTGTATTTTCTGGTACCTCCTTATGGATTGGATTAGTCTTTCTGGTGGGTATCCTTAATTCTCTCATCTCTTGAACCTATTCGTCGCAGACCCAAAACCAAAATGACCCCCCTAATTTTTCTCGGTTGGAGGACTCCAGGGTAGAAAAGAGGGACCAAAACCTGCTACTAGAAGTTTCTCTCCATCATTATACAGCATTTGAGCCGTCCCGAATGTACCTAATATTCAATGATGGCACAGCCTACAGCCAATAATAACAGATGACAGTAAATCTCTCAAGATGTCAGACCTCCTGTTATTCACTCAGCTGAGCACCTATTTTATTCAAAGAGAGTACATTCAGAAACGCCAGCTGATGGTAAGCATCTGGACATGTCAGGCATCCCTACCTTTGCTGAACCAAACATTATCTTATTCAATGATGCCACAACAAATTCCACTTAGTGAATGGATTTGCTTTTGTCTAACAACTAGCACCAAATAACCTTCCTAGAATAGCGAAAGGACAAAAGGCGGTGCAAATCTAGAATCCTTATTTATAAGGTAATAGCAAACAGATTCTATAGTAGAAACTAAAAATGAAAGATGTCTGGGATCTCATCACACCAAGATTAACATTGCAACATCTTATCAGTATGCTCACCAAGACACAGAAATAAGACATCTTTCATGACGCAAAGAATATGAAACACTGAGTAAATGAACTTAGGTTGAAGATGCCACACTAGATGAACTTTGGTTGAAGGTGGACTCCTATATATTGCCTAAATAATCTAACTGCTGCAATTCTCTATCCTAGAGTTCTAGCTTAGTAATCCTAATTACATAAAAATTATAGTTTAGAGCTTTATCGTCATAAACTCAATATATTTGCAAGTTCTTCGTGCTCTGCGAATAAAGTATATCCTTAGAATGAAAAAAGATGTTTTAAACTCAACACCATCTATCCTAGAGTTCTAGCTTAGTAATCCTAATTACATAAAAGTTGTAGTTTAGAGTTTTATCGTCATAAACTCAATATATTTGCAACTTCTTGGTGCTTTGCGAATAAAGTATATCCTTAGAATGAAAAAAGATGTTTTAAACTCAACACCATCAATCAAGCACAACATTGTCTATGTGAGCTTTCATATGCCGATAAAGGAGAAGATTTGGAGTAGATTAATGGCAAGCATAAGATTGTCAAACTATGATGAGTTCTAAATACAGAATCTTGGAGACACAGAAGCTAAAACAGTGAATCAAACCCAATTTGTTCTGGATAAGGCCTAAATTCATGAAAGATTGATTGTTGGGTCAAGATACCTCAATGAGGAGCAGCAAACAGGTCAAACACTACGTGCTAAGAAAGAAGACAAAAAAAGGTGTCGATGTATGGGTTAGAAAGGAACAATTCCGAAAAAGACACATTTTCATAGCATGATTGTTGACTAAATTTCTTCTGTGACTTCTCATGAAAATGATCTCACCTATGAAACAAAAAAAGAGGGACAGCAACCACAGAAGCCAATCTCCCTAAAATAGAACAATGGAGCACACAAGTTCTAGATGCACTAAATGATTGCGAAGGTGAATTTTATTTTATTTTTTGATCAAGTAAGATGAGTCATTAATAAGCATCAAGTATATGCAGCAAAATCAAAAGAAAACAAAAAACATGGAGTTCAACAAAAACTGAAAAGTAAGCTCCTACAGGAAAAAATACGAGTTTTAAGCAGCATGAGGAGAACAACTATGGCAAAGAAGTAGCTCAACTTATGCCACTAGATCCACCCCTGAAAAGATAAGAAGTAATCAAGCAAAAACTACCTAATAGACAATGCAAAGACAGAGTTTAGAAGGGAGGGCGGGTAATCCACACAGAATTTTAATAGCAGGGAATCACATGGCACAACACTAATTTACGTTTGACAAAAGGTAGCCGCAGGCCTCGAATGTCTTCCATCAAACAGGAAAAACATGCACATTCAAATGAAATTACAATGGATATGACCAAGTTTGCAAGACAGTTAAAATGATAGAGGTGAAATCTACTGGCAACAAATTTTATTCTACCTTTCACTCTTGCCAAACCCAAACCGTGCGCCAAAGTAGAATGCAACAGAAAGCAGCCATGAATCACTATGAACAGCAACAAGTGATAACCAGTCTTTCTCTTGCATTCCATCACGTGCAAAGTTTATGCCTAATGCTGGCTCCGGAAGTTCTGGAGGCACCTCCTCAACAGGGAGGTTTACTTCCCATGTTTCATTAGGAAGCCCATAGAGACACAAGTTCTCCTTTTCTGAAAGTAAACATATGGTTAAATTCAGAATTTTTCATAAACACTTCATAATTGATCTGCATAAGTGATCTATAGAAAACAAGAATTGAACATCCAACGAGGGAAAATACCCAACAAGCCTCAAAACAAGGAAAAAGAGAGGGCAAGCTGTGAAATGATGGGGAGAAGAATGATGCAACACGAGAGAAAAATGAATTATCCTTACAACTTCCAGGCCGTAATAAACTATCTACAAAACCTTCAGTAACTGTGTAATTGATTGGACTAAAAACATTTAAGAGACTAACTGTCATAAAGACTGACACAGCTGTTTGAAATATAGAGGGATTAGTCTATTGATATCATTATCACAAAGGTCATAATAAGCAGTTTCATAAATGGGGACAAAATAAATAACAGCAACACAATAGAGAATTTAGACCAGTTCTTCAAAATAGAGTTGTTAACAGAGACTATCGAATAAGTATAAACAGTTAGAAACTCCACAGAAGAAAGGAATCAAATAATCGGGATAAAACCACAGTATGCTCCCCTACTATATCAAATACTTCAAAAAAATTTCATAAATAGCAAGATAAATTATGGTTGGAGACACTGTGTCACTGTGATAGAGAAATGATGACTCATTGCTACATAAAAGAAGCTTTACACCTCTTCTTCCTTGAGAACTGATAAAAAGTCATCAAGACAATGATGAGAACACTTCTGACACTGACACTCTCACTAAACGACATAAAATTCTAAGTAATGATCTCATTTTTAAAGATCATGTTTTGCAAAGCAGTTTTAGATAATGATAATTCTGTTGAAAATGCAGAAGAATTACTCTTTCATATCGAAGGCGACAATTAACTACTCAATAAAGATATGATCTTTCTGTTCCTGCATAACACCAAAGCAGAACATCAAATGACAAAATGATGTAAACTAGGGCTGTTCAAAACCAAATCGATAAAAAAGTATTAGGTTATTGTTTTAGTGGTTTTGATAACGATTTTGATTTTTTTTGTTAATCGGGTTATTGGTTCTTAACGGTTTAAAGTTTTGTTCTTAATGGGTTAACCAGTAACCCAATAGTAAATTAAATAATTATATTTATACCATTTTGTATATAAAGTTCTCGACTTGGAGTTTAATTTCCTAATTTTATTTTTTGGTTGTCTCAAACACTTGATTATTCTACAATGTAAAAGTGTTTGCTTTAGAGCAAGATGTAACTTGTGAACTCAAGTGCATGGTTTATTTGGTTTGTCACCTTGTTTTTAAATGATTTTCAATGTTTTTTCTTTTGTGTCAAATCTTAACGGTTAAACCGATAACGATAAAAAACCGATAAATCAATAACCGATAAAGCCAATATCATAATGGTTCTATAACGGTTTAGCATCTCTACAAACCGATAACCAATAAGCCAACCCAATAAACTTCAAAACTGAACCGAACTAGCCGATACACAGCCCTAATGTAAACAGTCAGAAAGCTCTAACATGAATTTTAGGCCACTCCCTAGGACAAACAGCACTGAAATTACAAAAGTGACCCAAAAAAAAGGGGACAAGAAGCAAATTACAAAATTCTGAAATATTAAAGAGTGACAAAGTCCTAATTAATCACTCAACCAAATCGCTCAATGAGAACATAAAAGAGCAGCAATTTGAAGAAAAAATATGAATACAAAGAACGGTCCCAGAAATTAAAAGCTATAGCCTCCAAGACATATACTGCATTTAGAAATACAGCTCAAGCTCATAGCACAGAAGAACCAAACGTGAATATTGACGGACCGCAACAGTCCATCAAAACTGAGCAGCAGAAAACTCACCAGGATCACACGACTGATAGAACTTCTCGACATCTGCATAATTTTTTTAAGAACATCATAATTAGTAAAAACCAACAAAATTCAGGAACACCCAGAATGAAATTATGCTCAAAACCCCATAAAAAGTGCAAGAAAATTTTAAGAAAAAAAAAAAGGAAACAACACTACAAACCTGTAGTTAGTGCTTTAATTAAACCAGCTCTACGACCTTTGAAATCGTTGAATACTTCTTCTACAGTCCTAGGTACCGTATTTTCCATATTATCCTTCTCTTCACTCAATTTTTAACAACCCCACAAGAAAAAAATCGAGTCTTTGAAAAAAAACAAGAAAATTAGGGTTTTTTCCCCAAAGAACTAGGGTTTCCTCTTCATGTTGCCCAAAACTTTAAAAATAGCTTGCTATGTGCTGTGAAAAATGAAGATTCATAAAGAGAAAAGCTCAAATTTTCATGAGAAATTGTGAGAAGCAAGTAGAGAAATTGTAAGAAACGGATATATAGAGAGAGAGAGAGAAGAGCATGAAGAAAGAGGAAAGTGGGGTGGTGGGGAAAGGGTTTTAGTAGCAGCATTTATTTGAGTTTCTTTTTTGGTAAATAGATACATGTAGCACTAGTGTACGAGTACTTGGATCTATTGGTTCTTTCAAAAATTATGAAAAAAAAAAATTGTGGCAGAGAGAGATCAGAAATCTGATGTGAAATGTCTTTTTATTTGTTGTTAAATTATAGCAATACTCCCAACTTGAGAATATTTTATTACAACTTAGGATGAAGATTTTGCCTTGGACAATGGAGAGGGATTCTTCTATCTTCTTATCTTTTCTTTCTTGTTTGATGATGATGAGGCAGAGGTGTTAAAAAAAAGGCTATGATGTTTGCATTTTGTGGGTTTTGATTTTGACATTTGTTTGTTTTCGATAATCGAATTTTATAGTTATCAAAAAGGTTTTACTTTTATTTAAATGAGATAAATACGAAGGGTATTGAAAAATATAGAAAATGATTTGAGAATCTTGAATCTTCACGAATAAAATTGAGTGATAGAATATAACACATGAAATTAGTTGAAATTGCGCAAGCTAGTCCAATAGAATTGTTGGTTTGAGATGCGGCTTCAAATGCACCATTGTTCCTTTGGAAGCAATCTTCATCTTTCTTTTTTTTTTTTCTGGCTGGGTTATGGTTAGTTGATTTTGCTAACCTAAAAATATATCTTATTGTGATTTTATTTACGGGGCCCAATTAATTTTTAGGGTTTTGACTGATTCGTTTGTTACTAGTACTGATTTATTTTGCTAAAAAAAATTAACAGGGAAAAGGTTTTGTAATATATGTGAGAGAGCAAGTGTACCTATTGGGTTGCGTACAATATTTTTTCAGATGAAATCATAGCAAGACGGTGATTTAAGTGTAAAGACAAACTCCAATATTGAATTAACGTGAGTAGCTTTTTCACTAGTTCTATTTTTTTTAATTTATATATAAATAAGTAGTGGTGCAGCATTATTGGTGTATGTTACAGTATTAGTCGTATTTTTATAATTTTTGTTTTTGATATTTACATGTTGTTTATATTATTTCGTTGTCGTTATTGTTCATCTTGATATTTTTACTTGCATCTGTTATACGTGAGTCAATAATTTCTCTGTCTCCACGAAATAATAGTAAAGTTTGTGCACTTGCTGGGTATGTGGATTGTTCTTCTTGTCAATCACTTAGATTGTTCCAAGAGAGCATGGTTGGGTAGGTTCATTCAGAATGCGGTTATGGGTATGAATGGGAAGTTTTGATCTTTGGAGATTGCACAGCAACAGTTTGATGAAATTCCTTAGAGAAGTGTTGCAGCAGATTGGAATGCTACGATTTTCAGGGTATAAACAGCTTACGGCAATGTGATTGAAGCTGTTGAATTGTTGTAGCAGATGAAGAATTGTAGTGATAGAATAACCTAACCTATATTGGGGTATAGTCATGGTGAACTGGTATAAAAGGATGGACCTTCATAAGTTTAAGCAGGTCATAATAAATACACAAGTAAAAAGTGAAAATGGATCTTCAAACACAAGATGATAACAGGCACAATTTCTTTAAAATCTAAAACGCAATCCGAAAGCAAGATAACAGAAAGCAAATGGACATCCCAATTCCATCAGCAAACATTTAACTTTTGACATTTGATAACTGAGCTAAAACTCCTACACCTTCCAACATCACCACTTAATTGTCCTTGCCGCAATTTTTAGACTTTAGCTCTCTTGCTACTGCAACTAGGACACTTGTACTGTTTGATATGCTCAGCTTTAGCTGGAGTAATCTTCACACATTTTCCATGGAACCATCTCTCGCAAATATCACAGCAAATCCAGAATTCATCAGTCGCATAATTATCACCACAAGCTCCACACAGAGTTGCGCCTTGTTCATCCTCTTCTTCTTCTTCTTCCTCCTCACCACTGTCGTTCTCCATTTTAGGTGGAGACACCTTTACTGCCTTGAGTTGGGACTCTGGCTGCCGAGGCTGCAAATTAAAGATGATGCAGAAAACATATGCTCAAACAAAATGAAAAATATATATATATATACAGTAGTTCTACATGTTAGGTCCAGTATATGAGAACCTTTCCACTTGATTTGCTTTTGTTGCTATTGTTGTGAGGAGCATCACGTGTTTGTTTAGCAGCTCCAGTAACAACTTCAAACACTGTTGGGAGATCATTTATCATTTGGAAAAGCCTCTTCCTGTATACATGATTTCCAAAATAAAACAATTATTCTCTCTAAATATATCTCAGATAACCATTTAACCAATGGAAGACACATTTATGACATTGGACTAGTTAGACAAACTATCCATACACTAGACAAATATAAGAGATTTAAGTTTAACATTTCTGGACATGTACACATGATCGTGGATCACATGCACCAGTTTCCCAATATAAAATCCAGCTTATAATGATTACAGCCATAGTTTCACATCCAGAAGATTCTCTAACCTACAATAGCAGCAGATACAAAAAGTAGACCTGTTACTCACAAGTTGCTCCAGCCTCCAAATATTATACAGCATTTGGGCTGTCCTGACATGTCAGACATCCTTTGCCTATTCAACTAAGCACTAACATATTCAATGATGCTACAGCCAACAATAACAGTGATGATCTCTCAACATGTCTGAAACTCCTACTATTCACTCAACATACTATTTTATTCTATGATGTTACATCCAACACACCGGCTGAAGGTAAGCATCTCAACATGCCAAGCATCCTCGCTTCTAACCAAGCATTATCTGATCTAATGATGCCCACAAAATATGTCACTATGCAAATGAATCTGCTTGTCTAATAACTAGGACCTAATAACCTTCTCCAGAATAGTGAACGGACAAAAGGCTTTGTAAATCTATATTCCATATTTATAAGGTAATGATAGACAAATTCTATAGAAACCTAAAAATGGAAGATGTCTGGAATCTCATTGCAACAAGTCATCAGTATGCTCACCAAGACAAAGTAATAAGACATCTTTTTTTATAACGAAGTTATTAGTATATCGCAGACATAAAGTAGATGCATAATAGTTACAAAAATACAGTAGCTCCTTCACATTGCTAGTTAAGATTCGGGGAGCTGACAAAGCTTAGAAAGGAGCCGGGAATCGAGAGGGATAAATAAACCAACTATACAAAAACATGAGGCAACTAGCTTTTACATTAAAAGCATCTTCTATTACTATCATTCCAGATACTCCAAAAAGTGGCTGCAGGTATCATTTTCCAAATTCCCTTGATGCAGCTACCAACCTCCAAAGCAACTACAGCTTATCGGTAAGTCTTATCATGTTTTCATGACACAGAAAATATGAAACACCGACTAAATGAACTTTGGATGAAGGTGGACTTCTATATATTGCCCAAATAATCTCACTGCTAGAAATTCTCCACTCCAGAGTTATAACTTAGTAATCCTAATTACAGCTAATACTTAAACTTCAGAGTTTTACTGTTATAAACTCTCTCAATATATTTGCAGCTTCTTGGTGCTTTTGTATATAAAGTATATCCTTAGAATGAAAAAGATGTTTTAAACTCAACACCATCAATCAGCCACAACTGTCTATTAAGAGCCTTAATATGTCGATGAAGCAGAAGGATTGGAGTAGATTAACAGCAAGCATAAACTCGTCTAATTATGATGAATCCTAAATACTGAATCTTGTAGAGATGAAGCAGATAAGGGAATCAAACCAACCTTATTCGAGATTAGCCTAGTTCATGATTGATTGATTGCTGGGTTAACATACCTCAATGAGAGGCAAAAAACAGGTCAAACACTACATTGTAAGCAAGAAGACAACAAAAACGAAACATGTAACTGTTTCTTCAACAAAGATCAAAGGGAAAAAAGGGAGCTCCAACTGTTGTATGGGTTAGAAAGTACAGTTCTGGGAAAGAGATGTTCATACATGATTGTTGACTAAATTTCTTCAGTGATTTTTCATGGAAAATTATCTCAGCTATGGAAAAAAAAACGGACAGCAATCACAGAAGCTTATCTCCCTAAAATTGATCGATGGAGCATACAAGTTCTGGATGCACTAAATGCTTGGGGAGATGAATTTTAAGAAGCATGAGGGGAACAGCTATAGGAAAGACATAGCTCAACATATGCCACTAGATAAACCCCAGAAGATAAAAAGAAGCGCGAGCAGATATTACCTAACAGACACTGCAAATTCAGAGTTCAAAAGAGAGGGTGGATGTTATTTTACCTATCACTCTTGCCGAACCCAAACCTTGCGCCAAAGTAAAATGCAACAGAAAGCAGCCACGAATCACTGTGAACAGCAACAAGTGATAACCAGTCTTTTTCTTGCATTCCATCACGTGCAAAATTTATGCCCAATGCTGGTTCAGGAAGTTCTGGAGGCACCTCTTCCACCGGGAGGTTTACTTCCCATGTTTCATTAGGAAGCCCATAGAGACACAAGTTCTCCTTTTCTGAAAGTAAACATATGGTTAAATTCACAAATTTTCATCAACAATTCACAAATGATCTGCACAAGTGATCTAAACAAGAATTGAACATCCAATGAGGGGGAACACACAACAAGCATCAAAGCAAGGAAAAAAAGAGGGCAAACTGGAAACAAAGGGGAGAAGAATAATGCAACACGAAAGCGAAACTTATTATCCTTAAAACTTCAAGAAGGACTAAGAAAAATTAAGAGAGAGATATACTATCATAAGGACTGACACAACTGTTTGATACAGAGAGGGAGTAGTTTATTGATATGCATCGTCACAAAGGTCATAATCAGCAGTTCCATAAATGGGAGCAAATAAACAACAAAAATGAAATAAACTGTTAGACACCGCATAAAAGAAAGGAGTCAAATTTTCGGGATAAAGTTACGGTATGAATCACTGCGATAACAAATACTTCAAAAACAATTATCGAGTGCTGGCACAAAAGAAAACCTCTAAAACTGCCAAATACAAACTAAGAATTTCCATGTTTTTTCACATACCAGAAATAACAGAACCTCCCCCACCCCAACACCCAACCCCTAACCCCCCCAAAAAAAACAAAAAATGAAAAAGAGAACAAAAACTTACCAAGAAAGAGAAAAACAAAAAAACAAGAATATTTATTAATCATAAGGTGACAATATAGTATCTAACCACTTTAACTACCCTGCCTCCAGACACCTTAAGTAAGTACACAGAAAATGCACGCATTTACATTAAAAAAAGTCATGAAAACATCAAAGTGCTTTCACACTGCAATAATATGCAATCATGTGCTTTTACCCATATCATAAACAAGATTAATGATGGTTGGAGACACTGCGTCATTGTGATAGAGAAATGATGATCACTGCTACATAAAAGAAGTTTTACATCTCTATCTCCTTGAGAATTGATACACAAGATTACAATGCATAGATTTCTGATATTGACATCCTAATTAAATGACTAATTAATCAAAAGTGAAAAGCTCTAAGGTCCGTTGGGGATTTAAACACAAATAAAGTGTGGGTTTTATGAAAAAAAGGTGCAAATCGAAAAAAATTTAAAAAAATATATATATATATATACACACTTAAATATACACACACACATACATACATACATACATTTGGTACAAGACTCATAAATATAAGCATGAAAAATAAATCTATGGACAAAGAAATTAAAAATTTTCACAATAAAGTGAAATATCAACTGTTAAATGTTGTCTCCCCAGACAACACCTATTTGCAAGGAAAAGTTTGAGTTAGAGTCTTAACAATGACACTAAATAAAACGCACATTAAGTGAGTCAAAGCCCTCAACATGTTTGGAGCTTCTCTTTCAAGGCTTAAGCACACCTTTGACAACACTGTAAATGACATAAAATTCTAAGTAATGATCTCACTTTTACAATTCATGTTGTGGAATGCAGTTTGAAATCATGATAATTCTGTTGTACATGCAGAAGAATTGCTTTTTTGATTGAAGCGATAAACTACTTCACAAAAATACAATCTTCCCATTCCTGCATAACACCCAAAGAAGAACATTGAATGACAAAATGATTCCAACAATCAGAAACCTCTAACCATAAGGTTTAGGCCACTCCCTGAAAGAACGAAATTGGAATTACAAAACCAACACAAAAACAGGATAAGAATTCTGAAATGTTAAAGGTCTAATCAAGTGACTTATAATCATTTTAACCACATTTAACAATGAAATTCCAAGATACAGAAGGAACAGTCCCAGAAATTAAAAGCTTATAGCTTATAAGAAATATACTACATTTAGAAATACACCTCAAGCTCAATAAAACAGAACAACCAACTTCGCTAATATAGATGAACCACAATAATCCAATCTAAAACCGAGCAACAGAAACTCACCAGGATCACACTGCTGATAAAACTTCTCAACATCTGCAATAATTTTTTTTATAAAAGAAACAAAAAAATTAGCAAAACCCAACAAAATTCATCAACACCCAGAAAGTAATTAAGCTCAAAAACCCATAAAAGTTCATGAAAATTAAAAAAACAAAACTACAAACCTGTGGTAAGTGCTTTAATCAAAGCAGCTCTACGACTTTTGAAATCGCTGAATACTTCTTCTACAGTCCTGGGTACCGAATTTTCCATAATAACCTTGTCTACACGCAATTTCTAACAAATCCACAAGAAAAAAAAATTGAGTCTTTGGAAAAGAAAAAAAACAAGAAGTGGGTTGAAATAAAATAGGGTTTCCCCCCAAGAACTAAACTTTCCACTTCATGTTGCCCAAAATTTGAAAATTAGTTTGCTATGTGCAGTGAAAATGAAGATTTGATAAGGAAAAAGCTTAGAAATTGTAAGAAGTAAAGTGGCAGAGATTGTAGAGAGAGAAAGAGAACAAACAGCGGGAAGAGAGGGAAAGGGTTTTTGGTAAATAGATTACTTTCTTATCTGCCTTTATTGTATTTGTTTTTATTTATTTATTTATTTATTTATTTATTTGGTAAAAATAGATAACTATTTGTGTAGCACTACTCTACTGATTAAAAAAATAAAAATTGTCAAATCTCATGTAAAAGTCTTTTTATTTCTAGTTAAAATCATACCATGCTCCTAACTTGAAAAAAAAAATTAATGAAAAGAATCACCTAAAGACAGACACAACTTATATTATCATATTTTTAGAAATATTTTATCATTTATAAATTTTATAAAGTCTCTATTATCTCCTATTTTTGGATATACATTTTATAAATAGTGACATATCGATATGTTAAGTAATCTATTTAAAATCGAGACGTTGATTGATGTATTAGAAATAGGAAAGTGATGATTAGATTCTATCAAAATAAGACATAAGTGATATGCCGATACATTGAGTGATGTATCTGAAATTGAGACGTAATATATCAAAATATTGAGCAATGTATTTAAAATTGGGATGCGATATATCAAATGTTTTAGGATGTATCCGGTAATCCGGATATGACCAAATTGAAGAGACTTTTATACTTTGGTAAAGAAAAATAGGAATATGACCCAACTAGCTCTTAACATTATGAAATTTTGTATAAAATTCCCATACTCTATTTTATTGATTAGGATAAAAAATCTTATTTTGTTTGTCCATTTTTAATTCCAAACATTTTTAAAAAATAATAATTTATATGAATAATTTATTATAATATCTATTCGAATCTATGTTTAGTATTACATTTTTAAAAAATATTAAATAATTAATATTACAAATATAGTGTTATAAATCCATTAAATAAGTGGATAGTCCATAAAGTTAGTACATGAACAACCATTCATATTCACTAGGTTACATGAACCTTTTTGGATAAAAATTTATCTATACTTAATATGGTGACCATTGGAGTGATTTCGCACTCTATAAATAGGATTGTTCATTCACTATTGTAAAATATACATATGAAACTTATATATACTTGAATAAGAAGAAAGTCTTCTCCTACATCGACTTTTCTTGTATTCTTTTTATAATCTTGATTTTACAATATATACATATTTTTTAAATTAATATTTTTTAAAATAAATAAATATATAAATAAAAGTAGACGGAGATGATTAAAAAAACGTATGATTGCATTTGTAGGTTTTGATTTTGACATTTGTTGTTTTATAAAAGTTGTGGGGATATAAATAGCACGGATAACTACTTGGCTTTATTTATCGAAAGGTTTTTGTTTTCTTTTCCCAAAGTCAAAAAAATAATTGTGAACTTTTGAGTGTGTAAAATTATAAAATTTTAGCTTTAAATTATTATCAGAAGCGAACTTTTATAACATAATTTTTTTAAATAAAAATTGTGGGAATATAAATAGCACGGATAACTACTTTGGCTTTAGTTATCGAAAGGTCTTCGTTTTTTTTTTCTTTTTTCCCCAAAATCACAAGGTATATAAAGGGTTTAAAAAAATAATTGTAAACTTTCGAGCGCGTAGAATTATAAAATTTTATCTTTAAATTATTATCGAAGATGAACTTCTGTAACATAATTTTTTTGAATGAAGTTATTCAATATAGTGAATGATAAAGTAGATAACATAAAATTAATGTAAATTTCACTTATATAGTTATATGTAATTGTAATTTCTAACGCAAAACAAAATTATGATACTTCACTAACTTGCACAAAATCGCAAATATCTTTCTACAAAATGGACTTGGAAAACGATTCCTCTATATCCATTCTGGCCCATTTGGATAATTTTTCTCATTTATTTGGATTTGAGATAGACTATAATTTACGATTTAATTTATTTTCAATAATTATGATTTAGGTGTGAGTCAGTGAAAGTATAATAAGTTTATAGTCGAAATTATAGCTATATGACTATAGTGATTTTTTATTTTATTTTTAAAAAAGAATCAAAGTTATATACTCCCTCTCCCTCAATCTGTGCACTTTTTATGTTCGAAGAGTCAAACAATTTAAGTTTGATTAAAAATTTACGTATGAAATCTTAAAAAAAGTTACATGAAATTTATATATTTTTAAATTACGTAAAAGTACAATAAGTCACAACAATTGACATCAAACTATTTAAAAGGTATATGAAAAATTTACGGTCAAAAATAGACTTGTTTGAATCTCGAAACTCAAAAAGTGTCATATAAAATGGGACCAAGGGACTAACTAAATGTGATATTTATCCTAAGATTAGGGTAAGATAAAACATGCGTACATTCTACTCTATTCAAACTCTATTTATGTGATTACATTATCGATGTTAGGCTTTAGAATGATGATTTGCGCTCTGCTACTTGTTGAACTGATCTGGCTGAAGTACTCCTTGATATGTTATCCACTATTTTTTACATTTTGTGATTAAACTCAACAATAACATATCTAATAAAATCTCAAAGGGTGATCTAATCTCACTCAGACTACTTGAATGATCGCTATTAATTATGAACTATTAGAACAAATGAACAAGCATGATAAAAATTACAAGGAATACAAAATAAAACTTGTTTGGCTTAGAGGCACGTTAATATGTTTCTTGAAGATAGAATTTATTGTAGGTTCATGAATTGAAAATAAATTATCTTTCAAAAAATCCATAACGTAGAATTAAAAAGCCTCTTCCAAAATCCTATAACTTAGAATTAAACAAAAAAGAATGTTACAATTCACATTCATTATTTTATTATTTGAAAAACTTTTTCAACGGAGAAATTTGTTTCAAAATTAATTGAAACACTAAATCTTACACGAACTACTACTACTACTACTGAGAATGAAAAATGCTCTCGAAAGTTGTGTTTTTTTCTCCAACTCATTTGTCTTGTGGCATAATTGTTGATACCACTTATTAGGATCAAATGTTTATTATGATACCCAAAAGTTATAGCTGATAGCAAAGGCATAACTTTATTTTTAACAAAGTATACCGAGCAAATATCATGCTCGATTATAACTCTAAACCAAACTACTCTAACCCTTCGTGGGCCTTGCCCTAGACGGGATGTTGGCAATACCCAACACAATGTTAATGTAACTTTATCAGCAGGAGATTCCAATTTCATGGTCCAGAAACACATTTACTATGTCATTTTTAGTGTAATACGACATTCTGCTTGATGTCTGTCTTGTAATTGTTGCTAACAATTGAGTTCAAAATTATGTTTAAAATGAGTTGTCATTTTTGTGTAATCAAATGTCCCTGTAACTGATAATCATATCATGAATGAATATCTATAGTTTTTTTTTTCATCAGCTCCAATTCAACTCTAAATATAACTATTTCTGTATACATGTGTATACAAGTATATATTGTCAATTAATTTTAATCTATAGGACTTAAATATTGAAGATTAAAAGTATTTAATCCTTTTTAAAAAAAGTTATAGCTCTTGTAACACTTCAAACATGCTTTCTTGATCTGAGATATATTTCTACTTTTTCTATTCTAAATGTATACATTCAAGTGCCTAATCTTCATTTTTTTGTCTAATAAGAAAAACTCTCAACAGCAGATTTTGCTTACAACTTTGAAGTGAGTTATAGATTCGATAAAATTCAATAGTTTAAAAATTCAGTTGATTTGTACAAATAATTTTGCCATCAAGAGTTTATCTTCTTTAAACTTTAAAATTCTGAATCTGACTACTAAAATAACATTAAAATGGTCGTATTTCTCGACTTGTCATAGAATGCTAACGTCAAACACTCATTGTTTCCACATTTTAATTGCAATGACCCCCCACCCCCACCCACTCCGGCAAATATTTTATATATATTCTGTATTATATCGTTTCAATTTGTTTGTTATACTTATTTTTTAAAGTCAGTTTAAATTTTTTTTATATAACTCTTTAATAACTTTTCGCATATTATGTTTAATATCAAGATTTAATTATTAAATTTCGTGTCAAATCAAAACGAGATAAATAATAATTGATTATACAATATTATATAAAATATTTCTAAATAAACTTTAATCCCAGTACATGCATTATTGCTGCACAATCACGACGTATCTATCGTATAGTATATGAATGTGTGATGGACCGCTAATTATTGATGAATTTTGAAGATGCCTTAAAAATAAATTAACATTGCAAATATTATATATATATATATATATATATATATATATATATATATATATATATTCCTTTTGGAACATGTGAAATTACAGTATATTTTGGCCGCGTAATCATTTTATAATTATATTTCATTTTTGCAAACAAATATGAAGTTCTCCAACTAGGAATTTTTCTAATTTCTAATCAGTTTGACCCTTTAGTTAGGAAAAAATTGACAATCAAACAACAGTTTGTGAGAAACTATTCATCCGGTATTCCATCCGTCTATTTTCATTGTCATAGTTACATTATTTAGAATCAAATTATTTGAAGTTTAATTAACATTTTTAATATAGTTTTTCATCATATATTGATATTTAAAAAATTACAATTCATAATACTTTTTATATAATTTTTGAATATATAAATTTTTTATTCAATTTAACTTTCTAAAAACACAACATGACAAATAATAATGAACCATCGAGAGTTTATTTTTAGTTGCGTTGGTCACACAATTCATTAAGAGAGACTCAGTGACCGGAGAATGATTTTAACCAAGAAATTTAAATTATGAAGAAGTAGACACAATTTTTTTTTTATAATGATTCAATATTTATTATATATACATAAAATATAATTTAATCAAATATAAATAATATAAATTTTCATTTTATTTTTTTTTTAAAATCTCTTCAACCCTTAATAGATCCGCTCAGCATAAAGTAGCATTGGTAGAAGTAAAAAACATGCACAAGCTATATTCACGCGGAATTGAATAGGGGCACAAAAAAATGACACAATATGCTCTATGGACTTCTCTTTGAAATAATAAAATTAACCTATGAAAATGTAATTCATTGAAATTTGCCTAAAATGATCTGCCCAAAAGTTGGTTTAAATTCATAAGTGATAAATCTCGTAAAAATATTGAAATTAAAAAAAAAAATCTTTTAGGTATGTTATATATAAGTATAACAAAAAATAAAAACTTTAGTTTTGTTTATTAATCAAAGAAATTATAAAAAAATAAAATAAAATTTGCTTAACCTAGTTTCACTTAGTTCATCTCAGCGTAAGCAATTTCATAAAATTAAAAGATTGGACCATAATTCATTCGTTAATTCAATTCATTCTAACCAGTTAAATTCAGCTCGAAACGCTCATTTGGCTCTCGTACACCTCTCAAATTAACATAGACAGCCTAAATTATATAAAATGGTTACTTTTTTCCTATCTCCTCCAGCTATTATATAGTAGGTGAAAGAGCATAGTTCATAAGGTATATAGTAGTAGTGTCAATACTATATCTATATGTGAAGAACTTTTCAGGCTAACCAATAGGACAGATAATCCAAAGAATTAATGTAGCTATATATGGACACAAGGAGGAAAATTTATTAATTAATTCTAAAACTAATTTTTTTTACTCAGCAATGAAATCTTTGTAATAGATTAGTTACTGCCAAAACTATATATTTAGGCAAATATGATACTAAGCATTTGTCTTCTATTTAGATGTTGGCTTGTGAAAAATATATTTATGGGTCCTTAATTTCCAACATTTTGCATTCTAGCTTTGTCTCTTCATAAGTCTGTGAATCAATAATTGCATAATTATTAATTCTTATGAATAATAGTGTGTATATTGAACCAGACTGACTGCATCAACTTTCATTCCCAAAGCTTCTATGAGCATGTAAGTCCAAAAGGTGTCAAATGAACAGGTTATACTGAATTTGGGTGGATTAAAATGAATTGTCTGTCTAAAAGTTACTTGAACTTAAATCGACATGAGCTAAAATGAGGGTCAAAAACTTAATTTGCTATTTGTTCTTTTTTATATTTTCTTAATATCGTATAATAATCAACACAAACTTAAACGATCAGATGAATTATAATTTTATGGGCTAATTTTGTCACATGATCCATCTCTTTCCCAATTCATGTGCTATACTTTGATAGATTAATAAAAAAAAGTATATCACATAAATAAATTAAGACGAGAGAAGAATCAGTAGTTTATCTATATAATAGTCAACTACCTGAATAATCATCAAGCGACATCAAGACATGTATACTCCCTATAAAATTTTGATTCCTAAAATCCTTCTTCATGTAATTAGTAGCTAATTATTCATCTTACTTAATGAAAAGTAAAATTAAAGTTATAAACCTATAAAAAAATTTAAAAAGTCCATATATACTCCCCATAAAATTTAAAATCAAACCCTAAGAAGATGAATTGAACTGTAGAGCTAACTTAATTAGCACATATCTAATTTCATCAAGTACAGAAAAGTAATTAGAAAGATTACAATAGCTTAATAATAGTACCCTAACTAATTAGAACTAACCAAAACCCTAACAATAAGATCCCACACACACATTATTTAATTTGATCATAGAGCTAGCTAGCTAGCTAGTAAAATTATAAATATCAGTAGATATATATATATGATATGTATATGTGCAGTTTAGTGATGATGAAATTACTTGAAGGGATTATTGCCTTGATCATAATGATCATCTTTGCAGCTTCCATCTGTTTGATTAATTGAATTCCACTCCCACAATCTGTCTGAAAAAGCCGCGGCCGCGGAAGATGGAAGTGATCCTTGATGAAGTAAAGATTGTGGTTGTTGCAGTAATAATGGAGGAGGATATTGTTGGGGCACAACACCAGGAGGAGGATGAAAATGGTGTTGATTATTATGAAACGCGACGACTTGGTCTAAGTTTATTAGTCTATGGAGATCATCAGTGGTATTATTTGTTGTTGCTACTAATGATGTGAAAGGTGTTAAGGTTGATGTAGTGATATTAACCGCGCTCCCAATAGGGTCTAGCGCGATGTTAGTGTAGGAATTTGAGAGGGAATTGAGCCCGAGTGATGTAGCAACATGATGCTGATGATGGTGATGGTGATCAGTACTAGTACTACTTGCACTTGTTTCAGTACTTAATTTTTCGTCGATTTGTTGTTGGGAAGATTGTCCTAGGTACAACGGAGAGATTAATGATGAGTCTTGTTGTGCTACTTGTTGTTTTTTGATGGGAGTTGTTCCTCTAGAAGAAGAAGATGATGATGCTCTTGTTGTTAGTAGTGATCTTGGAAGAGATGGATGGTCTTCCACTCCAGCTCTTTTATAGACACGACAAAGTGAAATTTCTGCCTGAAAATACTACATATTAGTTGTAATCGGAATTGACCTCATGTGCCTGTGAAACGAACACATTTGAATGAATAATGAAAGCTAAGGTTGTGATATATATATATACCTTTTGTAGGCGTTCAGTTTCATGATGTGGAAGACGATATTCATTCATAATCCAACTACTTCTTATGCCTTTAGGAGCCTTCCCTGAGTAGAAAACCAATGTCTTTTTCAGGCCAATGGACCGCGAATTCTCCGTTCTAATCATTCTATCAGCTCCAGTAGCCTTCCAATACCCTGATGTTGTAACCCTATTTGGCCTATCTCCATTTCTATACTTTCTATCTCTTGGCACATAGAAATACCACTCCTTCTCTCCAATTGCTGCCAAAGCTATGAACCAAACAAACTTATACATATAGAATAAACTTCCAAAAATAAAACTCAATGGAATCCAAATTATGTGCTAGGTAAAGCACACAAAAGTAAAGCAGAGGCGGATCTAGGGTTCAAAATTAATATTTTTAAGAATAATTATGATCTGCATCACAAAGTATTGAGTACAGATGAATCCACTGTTCACAATTTGTTCAACAAGTTCAATTTAAAACCAACATTTTTAGTATAGAAATTGATATAGATTATAGTAATCATTGAATTATGAACTCACAATAAAAAAGACTGGAACTTTGTGTTAAAATTTAAATTCTGAATCTGCTTGTATTACGTAGAAAGGAAAGAAATTGAAAGAGTGTAAAAATGAATAGTAGTATATACCAGGAAGCTCCCAAGGGTCATAACGATAAAGATCAAGAAAAGTGATGAGTTCCACATTAAAACGTTTTCCTTCAACCTTACGGCGAAGATAAAACTCTACAAGCTCTTCCTCAGTAGGATGAAATCGAAAACCAGGCATGACCATGTCGTGTTCATGATCATCGTCATCATCATTATCATCTCCTTTAATAGTGTTGTTGATGTTGTTGTTATCATCATCATCTTGTTGTTGTTGATGTTGTTGTTGGGATTGACTCATGTTTGTAGTAATAAAAGGGACAATTGCCATAAAAAAAAAAAGATAGTATAACTTTAGTAATAGTAACTTGTCATGAAGGGAATTATATATATATATATTCAAATGATATATAGGCTAAAAAGGGGTAGAGTTTCTTCCTCCATTTATATTAACTGGTGTTATTGTACTATAAATGAAAGTTGTGGACGAGAAAAGATAGTGTAAATTTGAGTAATAAACAAGCACACAATAAGTCAAAGTCTTTATTTTAATTAATTAAAAAACTATATATATACTCTAGAGGGTATTATATTATTTTATTTATGAGATTAGGGGTGGGGGGTGGAGTTAATAGAAAGATCTACATAGCTATCGATGAGACCCTACATGAGAAGATGTTGAGTTAAGATGAGAAAAGGACACTAGAAAATAATAGGACAGCTTGGCTAGCGGTGGGTTTGGAGCTTTCTTAATTCTCACATTAATTAATTAACTTCTTTTTTTTTACTACTCTCACTCCTTTTCTTTTTCATTTTTACACTAAACAATTTTCCCATGATTATTTTGCATGTTTAGTTATTTTGAGAGGAGTTAAATATTGAAGAAATTTTATGAGGCCATGATCATTTGATATATTTAAGCACTCATAAGAACGCGCATGCACATAGACTTTAAATACTTCTATATTTTTTTATTATAGAGAAGCAAAATTGACGCAAGATAAAAAGAGGTAGCTAGGCTGGGGATGGGTTGGAGTCCACTTATATATATATGCATAGTTGTGTATGTGTATTGAGGGAGACTACTTCATATTGTCAAGAGAACCCCGTGACTCTCACTACAACTAATTACCATCTTTTGTCAATATTATTACACCACTTCAATCTAATTTAATTTCCTCAGAAAGTTTTAGTAGCTCAGTTGATTGGTTACTTGTACTTATTACTCTGTTGTATGTTGGGTGAGGATTCAATTCCTTTAAAGTTGTTGGCTGCATATATATACATAAAAGATCTTTAATCAAACTCTAAGTAGGATGTTGGCTCTGTTGTCCTAAGTTGCATAACGAGGTAACTGTTAAAAAATTGACAAAAGTCTCACATTGATTGGGTGGACTTCTTATAAGATTTGGACAATCATCCTCCCTTTGAATTAGCTTATGGGAGGGTGTGTGTGTGTGAATTAGGTTCGAAGCCTATACTCATCTCACCAAATGCTAACCACCCCCCAAAAATGACAATTCGTATAAGGGTAGGACAATTCTTTTTTTTTTTTGAACCTAATTTATGGGGTGTGATTTAGATCTGGATGAATTTTGATTTAAAACAGAAAACCATTACCTATTGATATATAAGTGTATATCATAAAGATTAGGTTATAGTTAAATTCAATATAACAATCTCTTGTATCTTTACTTTATCTCAAATCCTTATGAGATGTATCTGCACTTTTGAAGTGTAATTTAGATATCGAGAAATGTAGGTTTAAAAAGAAAAGCATTACGTGCCACACGTACATAATTTATCTTTAAGACAAAACTTTAATTTTGTTGGATGTATATATACAATAAAACAAATTTTCTTTTTCATTTTATGAAGATATATAGATATCTCGATCCCTAAAAGAATATATACAAAATTGTTTTTTGGCAATATAAAAGAGTCAAAACGTGTCTTCTTTTATAGAAAAACAAGACATTTACACGGGTCTTTTGGAATTTTTATGAACAAAAATTATAGTTTTATTAGTTTTTTCTAAAGTCACGAGTATGAGGTCACAATTCTCTTTTTCTTCGTTGAAAATAGAAGAAATGAAAAGCATATTAGAAAAATAAATTCCAGAATATTTATATAAAACTTGAATGTTCTAAACCTTTTTTTAATTATAATTTGGCATGCAAATTCAATATTATTTTATTAAAGCCCTAAAGTCTCTTTAATAGTTATAATCCATCCAATTAGAAAACAAATGGAGATTTGATTTGCTTTTGATTTCAATTAGGTATAAAACGTACGTGCTTTAGCAAATATGATGAGAGTTAGGCTAATTATTTTCACCTACTTCATATCATTTAAATTATTATAAAACTCCGTATATATCACTCCCTCCGTTTCATAGTAATTTATCTTTTAATTTTACGCATATTAAGAAAATATAAATAAGAAAACAATTTTATTATTTACCTTTTTAAAAAAACTTTTTTACAATTTTATAAATAAATGTAAACACTTTCAAAAAAATAATTATTAAGGTAATATTAAAAAAAATTACTTCCTTTTTCCTATATCAGATTAGTTCATTTCGATTTTCACGGCAACTAAGAAATAATTAATAAATTAATTATTTTTTACTATTTTTCTCTTTGTTCAGATTAAATGGCCTCTTAAAAATGAAATTCTTAGATCTTTAAATTTGTTTAAACCTCCGAGTCCACATACTCTCTCCATTTCATATTTGAGGCATTTTCTTATTTTTAAGTTAATTTAATTGTTAAGTTTTCAAGATCACTACTTTTAGAATGTTAGTTCTATTTTATCCTTCCTTAGTTAGATCTTCATTAGTCAGTATTGAAATTAGTGATTAATTAATATTTAGTTATTTTAGTCATAAATTTGATAATAATTAATAAAGATAAAAATGAAAAATTAGTTTCAATTTATGTTTTATTATAAAAAGAGTGTGAAACACTTCAAAAATTAAGTTAATATAGAATGAAGGGAGTACTAATTTGTTGGGGTAAAATTGAAAAAAAAAATTAATTCTATCAGTAATATGAGATAACTATTTTTAGAAATGTCAGACTAGTACGAAACGGAGGTAGTAATTAACGTATGTTTGATTTAATAAAATAAATTATTAATAAAGAATAATTATTTTTAATTAAGATAATCAATTAATATGATGTAGATATTGAGTCTGTTAGTTTATTTTCTTGATTAGGAGAATTCAAGAAAACCCCATTGGAAAACAGAAATTTGCTAACCCCCAATCATTTTCAATGGACCCCATTTATTGGACTGATCAGTTTGGCCTCCTACTTAGAATTATTCAGATTTAATTTTATTTCTCTTTACATAAATATTCAGCCATGATATATTATTTTGTCTTGTCTCCTAGAAATTTAATTCTAGCCCCACACCAAAAATAAAAATAAAAATAGGTATATACAATGTTTTCTCTCTCGTGAAAGTAGCTTCCAATTTATATGGTTGACTTCATAGAGTATATTTTATTTCATTAAATATAATTTGTATTTATAAGTTTCTATATTATTATTTTGTTTTCTTCTTTAACCTTTCTGGTTTCTACTTATTTCTATATTATCTTGTCTTCATCTCATCTTTGATGTGTCATAAGTCAAAATCTAAGGAGAAACAATATTTCATGCAACATATTTCGATAAATACGAATCACAATGTAGCTATCCATATTTTTAAGTCTAAAGTAAAAACGTTTTAGCTTATTTGAATATTAATTTATGAAATTTCAAATCTCGTGTATTTAGATTTATAAGTTTATTCTGATCGGTCTTCTCTAATGTGGATTGGAAGGCAAAGTAACACAACCGCTACCTCTAGCCTTTTTACGAGAAAGACTTTTAACATAAAAATCAATTATATTTTAAGAAATGTCTTCTTTTTAATTAAATGAAAAATCAATATCGTTTGGAAAAAACTAGATAAAATAATATTATAGAAATCAATCGTAATCATAGGAAACTTTAACAAATTTAATTAGACAATGTTGTATAGGTAACCATCTTACGCCATGCTTACCTAGCATGTTTAATTTGTTGATCAAATCTTAAACTAAATTTGTTTATTTCTTCCCTATTCTAGCAAGGTAGTTGATTATAATTTATATTTATCACATAAAAATATGTGGCACTGTATGACTTGATATATAAAGAAAAAAAGTTATTTTTTTTAAGTTTATGATTTGACACAACTCTTGAGTATTTGTATGATTGTAAATTATTAAAATTTAGAATAAAAGTTTTTAAAAAAAATTAAATTATTTTTAATTATAAAAAAGAGAATACTCTTTCGAAACAGATAAAAAAATATATCACATGAATTAATCCATTTGAAAAGAAGTAATAAAATATAACATTCATATATGTAGTATATATATATGAATACGGAAAGAGTTAGGTTAAAGAGAAGTAGGTAGAGTGATCATTTCCCTATTTGGACTTGTGATTAGTTTATTACTACTTTTATTTATTTTTGAGTGAATAACAATTGAATATACTTCTCCAATGTTCTTTTGGATGATCTCATTGCTTTGCAAAATTGAGGCAAAATCCCTCCTGACGAATTTAAGCTTTTAATTCTATTAATTTAGTGTTATATAAAAATTATAATAATATTTACAAAAATTGTGGATTGAAAAAAGATAAAGGAAAAATATGATAAATTCAAAGTTGGAATAAGCTAACATAACCTATAAAAACGTAGAAATAACGTTTTCTAAGTTACTATTTTTATTGTGTCTCTGAAAAATAGTCATTATCTTAAAAAAAAAAAATTAAAATTCAAGATATTAACCAATATGTACTAAGGAATTTTATCAAACTTGTGAATTTTAAAACTTCAGGACATTCATAATTACCTGATTTAAAAGTGTCGAATTTGTAAATTTTTCACTAGTAGAAAAAGGATCGTTTTGGTGGATTCCTAATTCTAGAATCCTTCGTTTATTTTAGACCTGAATTCATAATTTTAAAGTTTGAAAATAAAAAATATTTACTGCTTAAATAATCTGTTCATAAATTTAAAGTTTCATAACAAAAAATATTTACCAATTCAAATAATCACTTGGTAATTTTAAAATTCAAAATAAAAAATACTTACCAACGGAGCAAATCACCTTGCCGGTTGGTTGTAATAGTGCGAAAAATGGGCCCATCAATAATTTGTGTTATCGCACACGAAATTCCCGTGGCCTGGACCATTTTGGCGGTTGTCAACCCTTTTCTCTTGTATCATTTCAATATTTGCCATTTTACTATAGACAACAACTTTTATAATGTTTATTTTTACTCTGTAGGGGTATAGACACTAATTGCTACTCTAAAATATTTTTTCCATTTCAAAAATCCTCATCTTTAATATTAAGTGTAAAAGACCCTTGGATAGATTTAAAATAAATTTAAGTATTTATTTTTATTGTGATAATTTATAGTTTGAATATATTTTTTTCATCTTTTGTT